CTTACGTCCGTTCCGTGGTCAGAGTCAGGGATTAGTCTGTACTTCACGCCTGGTGTTTCAACAGAAACCTAACTACTAATCCAGAATTACTTGGTAGAAATTACCAGTATTAGATTCTCCTCAATCCACTCTATCAAATACATGCAAGCAGCTTTTTCGTGCGGCGCAAAACGTAGCTTTTTAAGACCGGGTATGCATTGCCTGCAAGAGGTATAGTCATATATTGGCGAAACTTATTTGATTTTTCAGGATACCGAAGATTCCCTATCAAATGGTGTGAACTTATAATTCTAGTTTATTTCCAAAATTTGACCACAGCCGGTCTCGCAAGGGTTGGGAATTTTGCCGGTTGGCGGAAACTCGGGGACTGCGCCTACCTGAGAGCTTCAAAAAGAGCGAAACCGGTCGTGGGCTGTCGACGGATATTCAGCAACCCTATGAGTAGTACATTACAAAGTTAATACGGAATACTCATTCACCACTGCCAAGCAATCACTGGTTCCCAGACAAAAATCACCTGTAATGACATTGCAGATCCATACATGGTTCGGAGGAGAAATCAAACAGAAGTGAACTGTGGCACTAATGTGGATGCATGTGACTACTGGAATGTAGTGTCAATGTGCTGCAAAAGAAGCCCGTGTAGGCATACGCTTTAACCCTGGTGACAAGGGGATGCCAGTAGCTACACATGCAATCAAATTGCTTGGCTCAGCAAACAAACCAAAGACCGCACATCCATCCATAGTACACTAAAAGCTGCATAAGTTTTAGTCCATATTTTCACTCAAGGACATGCACAATCAACAACAGGGTGTTCAGTTATCTACTGGTGAGTAGTGTCTTTCAAAAACACGCAACAGGTAGAACTAATGACTGCGATTTCCCCCCTATTTCTCTCCAGTGAATTAGTAGGTTTGGGCTATTTCTAAAGACGTACAAACTGGCAGAGTAACTCAGCTTTCCTACATTTAGACTTCGACGATGATACTTGGACTTTTGGCGACAATCCTGCAGCCTAACACTTTATAACGAAGTTCCCTATCATTCTTTTCAAACCTGCTATCAAGATAAAACCGAAATATGCAGTCTTTCTTAGAGATATTGCATTGAGCTTTGATTACAGGTTCGTCTTATTTTACTATAACTCCTCACTCCAAGCTTATTATATTACTATGAGAAAAAAGTGGATTTGAGGTGGACTGGATTATTATCCCACCTCTGCTTGTTCTTATGTTAGTTCAACTGTAACTTCCGTTCGTTTGGAATTTCAGCATCAGGCTACATTGTTATAGAATTCAAGTATGTTTTTTTAATGCTATACGGCTTTTCTGCTGTTATTTAAACCTACTGTCCATAATGAAAACTAATCGCTAGCAATTCAACTTGCACTTAACCTACGGTATATGTGGATTCTGGTTCAATTAAAGTTCTACTCCGAAGCGAAACGGTGAACCGTAAAGCGTTCAACACAGTTTAATTTTCCCCAGTTTTATTCCATCTTATGTTACCCAGTAATCTCTTTAATAATGGAAATCGTCATGCCATAATGATTCACGCGTCTTTACAGAAGGAAAGAGTACAGCTACGAGAAACGTGCAAACTGATTGACATATGCTCATCACAGTACACTTCAGTCAGCCCACCTTTTCATCTAAAATTTGGTTGTGACTTGAAGGTTGCATTGTTTCAACCGGTTTACACTCACCTGGTTCTACATCGCCATAGAAGTTTGTTACAGAGAATGTGAAGTTTTCCGACTCACGATACACTTGCACCCAATCAATTAAGTTCTTGAAGTTTTGCGTGCCATTTAGAGTCCAGCTGAATCTAAGATCTCTCAGAATAGACCATGCTTAGTTGACTGCTCCAGGTGGTCTCTGGAAGAGGAGAACTGATATCGCTGGAAATAAGGTTGCTCTAGTGGCTTGTGGTTGGAGGGCGAATTTACTGACCGGAAGGTTCGTGGTTCGAACCCGACCTCTGCCTTACGACTTCTCCTGTTTAGGCTTGAGAAACCAGGCAACGTCCCAACCCTCGTGGCTCCTTCCGGTGGCATGGCAGCTAGGCACCGGAAGGTGTTACAGCTTAGAGATTTTTTTTCACATACAATATCACGTCCAAATCCGAGTTTACGAAAGGTATTTGCAATTTTTCTGGTAACGTTTCCGAAGTTATGCGCTGCTAGTAGCGATGTAAAGTGAGTCGAGTGTAGACGCGCAATGGTCAGACATGAAACGCATCTAAATGGGCCGCGTGTATACCGGACGAAATTCCTGCATATATTATTCTCCTCAAAACTGAATGATCACTGATCCCTTAATTGGTCAATTTCTTGAACACCATTCGACTGACAAAACTCCCTACTGAAGTAACAGGAGTAATTCTGTAACCTGTCACAATGAAACTTAATTGTCCCCATAGAACCATATTAGTCGAGTAACCGGATGAAAGCGAATTAGTCTACGGACAATTAAAAGGAATAATATGATAGAGTGCATAAGCATCGTATTGCCAGGCACAAACTTGCACATCCCTGAGGTGTAGTGTGATATATCATCTCTGAAAACACAGCTCTTTATTCAAGGAAAGTCATTCATCGGAATTTTCAGTTCATTCACGCTCGTTTGCCGCAAATGTGCCGAACAGACAACACTAAAAATATCACTTCCAACGTGATTCTCAAAGAAGTCTCACCACAACTGGTTCGTCTAATAAATGTGACGACACTCGGGTTCACGCGCATACCGCTACCTCCGGCCAATTAAATCCGGTCCTGAATAGGGCAGTGTTACAATACTACCTCATTACAACTCAGTGGTCGACGAACTTATTTTGCTTTGATGGGGCGAGGAGAGTAAAAAATAATTAGGACTTCGTATCACAAAATAGCACACAAATGTATTTAAAAAGGTATTCTTTGGTTCGCGTTCCTAGAGTTGCCAGGTTACCGACAGAGGATTCGGCACAAACACAGGTGGACTGGTAGGTAAATTACATATTGGATAAAAATGATGTGGACATTTTGATCGATACGAGAGGAACCACTTTGATTGTGAGCTGCGTGGTATAATTTCTTATTCGCAGGATAACATCTTATTAGGCCTTCTACAGAACCAGTGCACCTTCACAGACACGGAAGTTAAAGAAAAAATTAGCTTCTTCGGAACGATTGTTTGTGAATCCCGCTTGTTACGTGTCTCCAGATACTTCTCAATAAAGCCATCCGGATAATCAGCCGGCAGCAACACACATTTCTAGGTGTGATGGCATGAAAATCAGTCAGTCTGCTTCTAAAATAGATCGTGTTTCAAATGGGAACACCGGTAAGCTCAAAATTTTATTTCGGCCAAGCAGACTAGGAAACACATAGCAGGTATTCAACCTGCCCGATCTTCTTGTCAATGAACAAAATACCATCCAAATGTCCTTTGTAAGCGGAAGACACCTGGGGTTTCAGTCTCCACATTTCCCTCTAGTTAGGCTGCAAGGACATCTGCTAAGCTTGTTTCAAAAGAACTCACAAATTGTCCGGAGGCCACCCGTCCCCAATAACCGAACATCACATCACATCATTTAGACGGAAGTCTCGTGTGCAGGCTACGAACCAAACGAAGGCATGCCCTGAGTGGTTAGAATGCCAGCCAATCTGGATCGAGCATCTTCGGTTCGACGTTTCTCGCGCCCGCGCCCCCCACACGGAAATTCCACCACGACCTTGCAGACGCTGACCTATAAATACGGTTGTAATAATTTTCCCTTTTCTTCATAAAGGGCTGTGTGAAGGCACCGTGCTTTTTGGTGTACCATAGCGGGTGGAGCAGGAAGCCAAGGACCGATAAGAGTTGGGCGACCGTTCAGCCAGCAGTAATACATCTTCACCACCACATGGCCTGTGGACAGTTAGTTGAAACCCTGACACACACACGCACTAGAATAACGTCCATCGGGATCCCAATGCGTAGATATGTGACACATTAATGTTTTCTAGGAAAAGTCACACAAAAATCCGCGTTTTCGCTTATGTAAACATTAGGGGACAAACACGAAAACTCCGTAGGTATTTTTCAAAAGATGCTTTATCAGGATCGTTCTCACAGGCTTAAGAAGCATTACGAGTCATTTAGCCTAACGAATAGGTAGCAAGCAGCTTGTAACCAGTGTGGTTAATGGTACACCATACAGATGGATCTTTGATAAACTGAAGAGTGAGACGTGATTGAATTCAGTACGCTAAAATCAGTTTGAATATACAGTGAGGACGAGTCGTACGATGTGCTCTTCCTGTGTGTTTATCCTGAATGATCTGCATATTGCAAAGGGAACGACACGATGTTCTAAACTCATATGGTAAGCTAATGCATAAAACAGACGAATGTGCAACCGACGGGTGGCTTGTTTACTTGACAGTACTACATTGTCGGGCAGGCTACCTGAACTGGATTTGGAATTGCTTGATGGAATTTTATCGAGTGCCCTTGTTTGGTTTTCGAATGGTGTTAGCTGCATTCCCAACACTTGCAGGAAAATTCCCAAATTTGCTATATTTCGGGCTAGTGCACACGATGTCTTCTGTTTACTTGTAAACTGGTTTGAATTTCGACTACAATGTTCCAAAACATACGGTACCGGTTTTCGGGTCAGTCGAATGCGACCTAGAGTGCAAAAGAACCCGTATACTCTTCAGTGTTCACCCAAGTACATTTAATACGTATGAAAATGAGTGTCTTTAGATAGAATTCCAACCTGCGACGTGTTGTCCACCCGATAAGTGCTCTATAGACTGATCTACGGTTGAGGCACCACACACCGTACTTGTGAAATACTTCATGTTCCACTCGTCGGCTTGAAATTTCGGCTAAGCAAAGGAGGAGCGGTGACTTCTCGGACGTTGAATAGGGAGGTAAAGCCATTTGACTACCTTTGGAAGCTACCACGAAACAAAAGTAGGACAACGAGGAAGCATTCGACCTTTTTATTTTTTCTTTGTTCTATTACAGGTAAGGGTGACGTATTCGGACAACCTGTCTGGAAGGAGGCTGACGTCGGACAAAGTGCGGCCAGTGTGCGTGCCCTAACCTACTGTGATCTACACTGCATTAAACGTGACAATCTACTTGAAGTTCTCAAGTTCTACTCTGCTTTCGCAAACTCCTTTTCCCGGTCATTGGTGCTTACTTACAACCTTCGGAATCGAGTGAGTGATATTGTATTCTGTACTGTCAACTAGTAAAGCGCGAAGCAGTGGCCAACTTCTAGGTATTATACACAAACAGATTAACAGTAAAGGATGTATGGATGAATACTGGGCAGGTAACAACAACCTCGCATGAGCACAGCTGTGCCGTTTTAGGCTTGAACCTGAACCAAAGTAGATTTTATCCAGCTATCAAGAAACCTCTCTGTATTCGACTCAGTAGAAATGGGAACTAGCTTTCGCCAACCAACTGAAACCCGATGATGCCACGGTTGTTGTTTTATTTTATTCCCTTCACTGTATAGTTGGTGTTCAGAAAAATTTCGGATGTCGAACGCGAGCGCGAGCTGAGTGAGCTTCGTCGTAATCAACCTCCATTATCGAGTCTTGCCCCGGATCATCCAGTCCGACGACTGATTTCTCGATTTTGCACCGCTGCATCATCCAATGTTTCCCAGATCAGTCGTTCAAGCTCAGCCAGTTCAAACGAACCACGTGACAAAACGGTGCCTGGAACGCCTTTGCACGATTCCGTCGCGTCATCTCTCACCACGGTAAGTTTAGGCCAGCGGTTCTGCAATATTTGAATGTCATCTACCCACACTCGGCTCACTCTGAAATGCAATGTGCCTGTTTCGTCACTGTAATGAACCTCAGACGGTATTGTATTAATGAAACAGGAAAATAAGTCTATGTTTCATGTTATACTGTATGCCAGGTATTCGTTTATGCGCGTTTAGTAACTCTGAGTGTCTGTTGGTGTCATCATGGAATGACAGCCATGTGTTGAGGGCTTTAAATAGAACGCCATCCTCCTCGACAGAGAATGCCGCAACAAGTAACTGTGGCGTCCAAGCATGACTACGCTAACTTTTCACAGATACGGCTGAGGAAATCTGACGCCAGAGAAACCTTAAAAACCACGCCCTCTTCCCTCCATATCAATCAGACATGTACAAATTCAGTGTGGTTGAAGGGCTGGTTTGTGGTGTCATCATCAGACTGGGTATATATATATATATATA